AGCTCACACAGGTGCCAAGGGACCGTGCACTAAGTTCACGGCTGTGTTGTACACGGAAATGAACAGAAGCCCAAGTCTTCCTCTTGGGGAAACCCACGTGGTCTCATTTGAACTTTCAGATCAGAAACATACTTCTCCAGAAAACTATAGGTATGTAGTCAGAACATGAAGGCTGGTTTTATTAATGAAACTGCCAAGAGCAGACAAATAGCCGAGCTCTCAGATGGCCCTGAGCTATTGGCAGGTCGCTGTGCTGCCAGGAAAAAACACATCCAGCGCTGACTGGGACTTCTTGTATCATTTTTCTCCACTCCATAAATGTATGTTGAATGTGCAAACCCAAGACCAGCCCTGCGGGCACGAGCTCACCAAATGACAGGGTCTTGGCCTGAGAACATAGAGAGGCACAGAAAGGAAAGGCATCAGGGAGACACAATCTTCAAGAGTCATCTGAGGAGTGCCACTTGTCAGATGTGTCATCCAGGCCTGGCTCACAGGTGGTCTGGGGAGGCAAGGTCTATGTTGGCTGATATCCTGAAGAATGCCTAAGAGGAGGGCAGAGGGGTCACCTGCACAGGTCCCTCAGCTAGCAAAAGACAGATTATTTCTACCGTTAGCTGGGTCCCCTGTGTCACGCATGTGTGCTGCTAATGAGCAATTAAAAGGCACCGCCCACCTGCCAGAGGACTGAGCAAAGCTGGGGTGGGCCTTGCAGCTTGAATGAGGGAGGCTCTCTGGCCAGCAGAGAGTGGGATTGAGGGTGACTCTGGGCATGAGGTCCAGCCGGCTCTGCTTTGACCCCAAGTTTCTGAGACTGCTATCTTTTTCAGTTGAGAGTATTGTGGACTTGGGCCCTTGGGGACAGCAGCAGGCTCACAGCTGTGTGAAGATCCAGCAGGGCCAGCTCCTCCAAGGACAGATAATTAGGGCCACAACCGCGGTTTCTGAGAGAACTGGGTGAGGGCTTCCTGGGGCTAGCTGACCCTCTTGACTCAGATGTGTTACTGCTGCTTCTGCCTAATGGGCCCGGCAGGCACCTTCTCATTGGCCACTGAGCAGGGCAGTCAGAGCATCTTTCGAGGTGGGACTGGTGCATTCTTCTCCATACCCCTCACAGTTAGCATCTCTGGAGCTGGACCTAGAAATAGGTCACAGTGGCCCAGCCACACAGAGCAAGGGAATCTCATGAACTGTCCGGCCACTGACCATGACACACCAGTTCCTGCTTGAGAGGACCTGCAGACCACAAACTACCCAACCTGGTGCCTGGCGGAGACGAGAAAATGGTACTTTCCATTGTCTACCTTTGAGAGAGATCATTTAGTAGACCTATGGGAGGCTTGAGCACCTCGGTCCAATTTGATTTGAAACTGTCTCATTGCTATTTATTTCTCAATAAAATTATGGAAAAAAGAAAACATAGATTTATCTTAGTATCCTCACCTGTAAAGGAGGGCACCTTATCTCACAGTGATATGAACATGAAAAGAATGACTATGTCTGAAGAGTGCTTTGCATAGTGCCACACACAAAGGATTCAATGAACAATGTATCTCATCGCTATTGCTGAAGACAGCAAACTTTGAACTTGTGAGGAGTCAGTCACTAGGAACTTTAAGGGCTGAATTATTCTAGCCCCATTGATTTGCCCTCTGTGCTGTATCCTTTTCATGGACATAACGTCTGCACACCCTGGCATTTGTCCCATTCTTTGCCTTCCCCTGGGGCTCGCAGAAGCCTTTGCCATTTCTCTGTCCCTCTCTTATGCCGCGTGTGCAGAACTGCATACACACAGTGTCTATTTCTGTTTTTTGCCTTCACTCTGATTCACTGCATTCCAGTTTTTCCTCTCACTACTCAGCAGAGAAGGATCTGGCTAGAGTTCTGTGTCACCCCTGCCTGGCTCCCCAGTGACACCTGCCTCATCATTGCCAATGGGTCCCTTTCGATCCTCCTTTTCCTTGTCTCTTGGCAGCTTTTCGGGTGACGCTTCTGTCTCCCCTCTGGAATGGATCTCTTTGCACGCTACTCTGCTTGCTTACATGTCCTCCCTGCCTTCCTTCCTCCCTCCCTCCATCCTTTTCTTCTCATAGCTGTGTCATCTCAGATTCTGTTAGAATTTTTTCTCTCTTCTGCCTACCTTTTAATTGGCTGGGTGGAGCAGGAGGCAAGGGTTGTTTACCAAGAGCCAGTGCTTCTTCTCTCACCTCCTTGCCATTCCCCATTCCCAAGGCTGCAAACATCATCTGTGTGTTGCAGACTGTCCCGTGTACAGCTCCACTGTTACCTCACCAAAGCGTAGCAGCCTCATGGCCACTGCCCATGTGACGTCTCCATTCAGAGATGTACTGGCATCTTACAGTTAACACTTCCCAAATGGTGCTCACAACTCCACCTCCTGTCTTCCATAACAGATTGTTCTTCCCCAAATATCTCCCTCCTCGTGTTCATTCACCCAGTCGCTCATGCCAGATCTTGGGTTGACCTTGATTTTCCCTTTCTCCTCCTCCCTTAACTTCTATCTTAAATCTATCACCAAGGCCCATGGATTCTGTGTTCAAAATATAGCTGGAGTTCACCCACCTCTTTCCTATTTCCCCAAACTAAGTTTTTCCTGAGTGCTGTTTCTTCAGTGACTGTCTCTTTCCCTTCCCCAGGAGAGCTCTGCACACAACAGAGTCCTTGGAATGAGCCCCCACCAGCAAATATTATCAATATTATTGTTGCTATCATTAATTATGGCCTTCATTAGCATATTGCTTTCCACACAAACCACGGTTTTACAACTCAAGGTCTGTCCTAAATTGTCTTTGGTAATCCAGGCACCATTCCTTCTGCCAGCATCTAGTGACAACCCACTCTGTGCCAGCCACCTTTGCCTTCACAAAGCCCTGTGCTTGGTCCATAGCTCGACAGCTAATCTCACACTGATTGGTCTGGGGCTCTGGCAGCTTCCATAGTAATGAGCCCCTGCACTACAGCATCTTCAACCTGGGATATCTGCCTTCTACTCACCCCCAGTCATCCCAGACAATTGCCACTCTGTGTCTCAAGCTCTCTGTCCCTTCCCCAGCAGAGCTGACCACTCCTGCCTCTGCATCCTGCAGTCCCTGGAATGTGTGCCCTGGCAGCAAATACCATACCTTCAAGCATTTGTTTACTTGTACTTGCCCCAACTCATTCCCTCCTCTCAGTAGGTGTTTTTCTCATCTTTGTTCTACACACATGGAGAATGGAGGCTTGTGGAAGTGATTTGCTCAGGGTCACACAGAAAGGAAGTTGCAGAGCCAGGATGGGAACCAGAGAGTGTGGCTCCTGGAATTACTGGTCCAGGGTGTGGAGGGGAGAGACCCCAAGACAAGAACTCAGCTCTGGCATGTGGATGGAGGGAGCCAGGCAAGCACCTTAGACTTGCAAAACCTTTGTCTTCTCTTCTGTATGATGTGCAAATGTTGTTAATCCATAGGGCAGTTAGAAAGGATAAATGAAAAAGCATGCTCATAGGGCTGATGTGTAGTAGGAGCCCAACAAATATGGTTTCTTCTTCCATCCCTGGCAAAGCTGGCTTCAGGCTAGGGCTTGTCATTCTCTCCAGAGCTTCTATTTTGCCCTGGGAAATAAAGGAAGAGGAGTAACTTCTGCTGGGGTGGGACAGTGACCCAGAGGGACACAAGTGGATCAACTAGCTGAGTTAGGAGAGCACAAGGCCTGATGAAGAAATGTCCTCTTCAAAGTCATAACTCTAGGCTCTGCATGGATGGTCTAGAGATGCGGTGCTTTACAAGAGCCAAGGCAGCCCTGCGCTGGGGCAGGAGCTGCCCCTCAGGAGAGGCCACCTTGGAGGAGAGAGCAGCCTGTCAGTCCCAGTTACGCAGGGCCAGAACTGGGAGCAGGGGCTCACTGTTCCCCATGTTTTTCCTTTCTCTCTCCCTCTGTCCATTGCCCCATCTTGAAGCATGCTAGGCAAGCATTCTACTACCGAGCTGCACCCCCCGCTCATGAGATTTTCAGTTTTGATAGGGGATCTCCCAAGCCATAGGAGAGTTTCTTCTCCTCTCGTGCCTTTATTCCTCTTTGCTGCAGTGGAGACCTGTAATTCTCTCCTCTGGAGCAACAATTGATTGCAGACTCGGGCTCAGAATGGCTTAGGACTGCATTGTAAAACAACTAAGCCCACTGGAGGAGAGACCATCCAAGGGAAGGTGCACGGGGGAATGGCTCGGAGCAGAGGGCACCAAGATGAACCACGCCGAGTACTAATGTCAAACTTCACCTTTGTAAGTGAGCTTGGCACAGAGCAGAGCACCGACCACCGTTTCAGCAAGAGCAAAGGCCTAAAGTGGAGCTCTGGGCTCTCACAGTCCTTCCAAGAATTGCTGGGGGTGCTCTGCTGAGGCCTAGTTAACAGTTTGAAACTTTGGTCCATAGGGACTGGAGAGATAGCTCAGTGGAATAAGCTTGCTTCCCTGGCAAGCACAAGGGCCTGAGTTCAAGGAACTTCGAGACTGGAAGGATCCTTCCTCGCCAGGCCCAAGGACAAGACTCCTGGACTTGCTGTGCTCTGATCTGCCCCACTTTAGGTAGCTGGACGGATTCTAGGTGAAATCCACCCCACGACATGGCTGGCACCAGGATTCTGAGTGTTTTTGTGGCCATGTGGGGGTGCCTGTGTGCACCTGGCGACTGTGCGCGTGGGTGTTTGTGCTTGCGGGGCACTGGGAGGCGCGTGAGTGTGGCCGCCTGTGGGTGTGTCTGTGGCGCCCGGCTGGGACTGCGCCCGCTGCGCCTGCTTGTGGCTCCCCGGCGCCGCCAGGAGGAACAGTGCCTTTGCTTCTCCCGAGGACGCCGCGGGATAGGAGGACAGGAGGCTGATGACATGAGGGCGCCGTCTCCCGAGTGATGGCAGAGCGCGCTGCCTTGCCGCCTCCGCCGCTCGGCTCCGGACTCCTTACGTCAGGGTAGCTGGGTCCCCCCTCCGCGCGGGAGAGTGCGAGCGGCTGGAGAGCAGAGCAAAGCGCTCGGCGGAGCCCGGAGCTGCACTGTGCGCGGAGCCCGCCGAAGCCCTGCGAGCCGAGCCGAGAGGAGGCAGCGCCGCTGAGTCGGCCACCGCACGCTGACCGGGCGCTCCTTGCCGCCGCAACCAGGACCCTTGGGACGCCGGGCTCGTCCTGTGCGTCCCCCGCCATGCGTGCCGGGCTCCGCAGCTTTCCGGAGCAGCCCAAGCGAGGAGGGTACGGGAGCCCAGGCCGAGGCGCGTCTCGCTGAAGTAGTTGGGTGGCCGGGGCAAGGGGTCGCCACGTCCGGGGTGCGACCGGGACCCGCGGAGTTGGCCCCCGAGCGCGGGGAGCGGGGCCACCCGCGCCGCCTCACCATTACCTCCCCAGGAGGCAAGGAGGAGCTGGTGGCGGTCGCCTCCCGGCTGTGGCAGCGGCGGCGGCGCGCCTGCTTGGCGGCCGTCGGCGTGCTCCTGGCCATGGCGCTCGGGCTGCTCATCGCCCTGCCTCTGCTGCTGCAGGCGGCGCCGCCCGGCGCGGCGCACTACGAGATGATGGGCACCTGCCGCATGATCTGCGACCCCTACAGCGCCACACCCGGCGGGGGCCCAGCGGGAGCCAAGGCCCCACCGCCCGGACCCAGCACAGCGGCCCTGGAAGTCATGCAGGACCTTAATGCCAACCCTCCGCCTCCCTTCATCCAGGGACCCAAAGGCGACCCGGGGAGGCCGGGCAAACCAGGGCCGCGGGGTCCCCCTGGAGAGCCAGGGCCACCTGGACCCAGGGGTCCCCCGGGAGAGAAGGGCGACTCGGGGCGGCCGGGGCTCCCCGGGCTGCAGCTGACGACGGGAGCGGCTGGTGGCGTCGGAGTGATAGGCGGCGGAACCGGGGGCGGTGGCGACTCTGAGGGCGAGGTGACCAGCGCGCTGAGCGCCGCCTTCAGCGGCCCCAAGATAGCCTTCTACGTGGGACTCAAGAGCCCTCACGAAGGCTACGAGGTGCTCAAGTTCGACGACGTGGTCACCAATCTCGGCAACCATTACGATCCCACCACAGGCAAGTTCAGCTGCCAGGTGCGCGGCATCTACTTCTTCACCTACCACATCCTTATGCGCGGCGGCGACGGCACCAGCATGTGGGCAGACCTCTGCAAGAATGGGCAGGTCAGTGGCCTCCTCTCCCACCCCTGCTGGGCCCTGCAGACCCTGTGCCGGCCCTTAACTCCCCTACGAATCAACCCCTTTCCTCCCAGCAAAGCCCAGAGAAGCGCTTCACTGTGCCTAAGCGTCCCGCTTCTCTGCGCTCCCGGGACGCTCATACAAAACCTAGCGCGGGAGGCTGGGCTCCGAGCGCCAGAGAGCCCTCTTCCCAAACAGTGTTCCACAACTGCCTGCGTTCTTGCCTAAGCCGCAGCCTCGTGGGCTCCTCGGAAACCCTTTTTCTTTAGGTCCCGGGTTGAGTATCCATGGCCTCTTGGCCCTCAGCCTCCTTTCCTTTCTACCCTGGGTCCCTGGGTCCCACTCTTTTCCATGGGGTCCGTGTCCACGGATTCTTCTCCTCATGTCAGGACTCGCTGCGTGCGGAGAGGAGAGGACCAGGGAGCAGTTGGCCAAGTTGGAGAGTACAAGGAGCTGGGTGGGAGTGTCACACTTGAAGTCTCAGGCAGAAGGCCGGCCAGCGGGAGCGCCAAGTGGGCCCCAGCAAGGGCTCGGGAAGAGGCGGCCCCACTCACCTGCTTCTGTGGTTCCTTCCCAGGTTCGCGCCAGCGCCATTGCGCAGGACGCTGACCAGAACTACGACTATGCGAGTAACAGCGTGGTGTTGCACCTGGACTCGGGGGACGAGGTGTACGTGAAGCTCGACGGTGGGAAAGCGCACGGAGGCAATAACAACAAGTACAGCACGTTCTCGGGCTTTCTTCTGTACCCGGACTAGGGGAGCAGAGGGCGCGAGGGGGGGGGCGGCTTCAGGCTGCTCCGTCGCCTCTGGGGCGCACGGCTATTTGCTTCTTGACACTTCCTGACATCTTGGTTGGAAAAGACACGTCCCGCTGTTCTCCATGCCCCGCCCCCAGCCTCTGTGTTTGCTTTCACCATGCTGCCTCGGGTCCCTGTGCCAGGCCCAGGGAGGAGAGAGGGATGCCCAAGTAGCGAGCTGAGTGCGAACCCCAGTCCTGGGGGCCAGAGCCGCCATAGTGGGCAGACTGCAAATCCTGTTGGACTCGATGGACTGTTGGAGAGCCTTTCCTCTTCCAGATCCCCTCTTCCATCTTCTCCCCTCTCCCTTCTTCTCCTCCTCCTTCCTCTCCTCCTCCCGGTATCCCAGGCCAAGTGTCCCAGCCCTATAGCCAGGGGAGATGGGCCAATGAAAATACCAATTCCCTGGGGCACCAGCACCCTTCTTTGTGACCTGAAATACTCGTGTAGATTTTCCTGTCCATCTCCCAAAATCCCCACCCGCAGCAGAATTCCAGCATAGGGAAATTTCATCTTTCCACACTGCACTCCCTTCTGACCCAGACCCACTGCGCCGCATTAAATTATGTTTTTAGACCATGGGCTCCCTTGTCTTTGTCAGTATGGCCCCTAACCTGAAACTTCAGGCATCCACCGTGACGTAGATCCCAAACCAGGGCCCAGTAACCTCATCTGTGCCCTGATCTCTGGCCACTGCCTCGTTCCCACAGCCTGAGATGGGTGAAAAAATGTGGGAAGGTGGGGAGTGTGTACCTCCCCTTTCCCTAAGATCCACTGCTACACTGAAGCCCTGCCTTGGAGGGGAAGGAAGGCAGAAGGCAGGAGAGGAGAGTTAGGTCTTCAGTCTCAGGCAATCAGGGCAACTTTGTCCTCTTGGCATTTGGGAGGAGTCCAAAGGGAGGATCCTCTGGGAAAGGATGGGGACAGGGGCCTCCACACAATAGGAGGTCCTGGTCACTGGGGACCTGTGAACTTTTAGACTCTAAGAGGGACAAGCAAAGCCCCCAGCAGACTCCCACATCCTCAGCCCAGGCCCATGTACCTGCATCTCCATGATGTCTACAGTTCTGAAATGAACTGGTAAGCTGAGGCAGTTCTGTGAATCATCCAGGTCCCGGCATTGAGCCAGTATTGTGGTGAGAAGGACATTGTCCCCTCAAAAGGGGGAAGTCTTGGGGCTTTCTCTTCCTGTGGGCACAATGGCCTGGTGTCCCTATCTGTTCTCTCCCTTCAGAATTCCTACCTGTTAGTTAGAGTGTTTCACATAGCCTCAATATTTTCGTGTTCTGTTTTTGTTGTTAGAACACTGAGTTCTAATAAGCAGTGAATTTCTATGCAGCATCCAGTTACCAAATCTTTCAGGCTGGGCTCCAATTTTCCATCCTGTCTCAGCCTCCCAGAAGTCTACGATTACATGCAGGCATGTGCCGCCACCACTAGATGTTGTTTCAAAATAAAAATGAAAATAAAAATAAAAAGGCTCAGAATATAGCTCAGTGGGAAGGCCTTGGGTTCAACTCAATGTACCAGACACACACATATGCACACATACACACCCTCACACAAATAAAAGCCTATTAGTAACCTGCATAGTACTTGGCTTATTTTGTCTAAGTGTTTGAAAAGAAATACATATGAATGAGTACACAGAGATAATTCTGGAATGTGTTTTTATGTAAATCTGGATTTACATACACACACTTCCCATATGGAGTCCATGGCATACATGTATGTAAGTCCATGTTCGAAGGTCCATGCCATTGTGGTATGTGTTCCTGGCTGCACGTCTGACCATAAATGGAGTTTTGCTGACTGTTAGTTCTTGGAAGATGCTGAAAGTTATGATTCCCATTTAAAAGACAACTCTACCCTCTACCTTGAGTCCTGTCGCTGTTGCTATTCTCTTTAAGGCCTTATTTTATTTGAATTACGTTATATTGTCATTCACTTGTATATGGGCAATGATGGTGTCTCCTTTGAGTCCAGATATAAAGTGTTCAAAGACAAGTAGACACACACACACACACACACACACACACACACCCCAACTCCCAGTCCAGTAGAACCCCAATTCCCCACCCTACTCTACCCCACTGATTGTGAAATACTAACTGAGCTGAATCCACCTGCTCCCAGGAACTAAGGAGGGCAGAGTCCGCCTGGCTACAGTTGCATTTGTATCAATTTCTGATGCCTTGTTGATTGTATCATCCAGAAATGCGATTAAAACCAAATGTCTGAGACCCAAATGAAGTCTAATTGCTATGGATCTGCAATCCCCAGGGGGCCCCTAATCCTTTTTGACTTATTCCGCCCCTTCTTCCGATGAGATGGAGCTTAGACACAAAGCCCTCGGTTTAAATTTCAAAAATTAAAATTGACATGCAGCGGTGGCTTTCCTGGGAACGGGAGGAATTTCTAAGGAGGTGCCCAAGCCCGGCTTTATCCCCCGCATTAAGAAGCAATTTGTACTTCTAACAAAGCCCCCAGCATTCCCCTTTGGTGGAAGGGCAGTGGAGATGCCTTGCCCAGGGCTGGCTGTTCAGTATCCTTAAGACAAATTTGAATCTGTGGTTCCTGCATCTGTATTCCCCGGTGCAGCTGGGCTTCTTGCAATTCTAATGCCCGGCTGCCGGGAGGTGCTGCCAGAGGTGTCAGCAGCTAAGAGGATGATGGATTGATGAGGCAGCGGCAGAGGCGTGGCTGGCAGGAGCTGGCCAGCTCAGGAGCGGTCTACATCTGCATGCTTTCTGAGTCCCAGGCAGGCCCGGAGTGGCCCAGAGGTCCATGACCTCATTATGTCTCTGGCTGACTCTCCTAGTGGGGTAGGACAGCATGGGGAGACCAGATCTCTCACTGTTGCTACCTGTGTGGAGACACCAGGCTTGGGGGTACAGGGAGAGCAAGAAATCTTTTACCCCGAACTCATACCCTTGTTGCTAGTTGTGTAGGGAATTCTCACCAGTCATCATTGTGAAGTATTGCTTTAGAGTCCAAATTGCTTGTGGCTATATTTCTCAACTAGGTTCCTGGATTGAGCTGGTTCTGGTGTCACCCAGCAGTACGAAAGGCATTATTCTGAACATGTGGGCACTGGGAGGTGGGGACCCAGAGACATTGAGGACTTGCTCAAGTTCACAAACTCATAAAAGCGGAGCTAGGGCTTGAACTCAGACTCCAGGTTGCTCTCCTGCTTGACTGCACCAAGGCACCCCTGCCCCTACCCCTGCCATCTCAGACACAGGTCCAAACATTCAAGGACTCGTCTGTATGCTGTGGCCTTGGGTCAGGGTCAATGACCCTGTGGGATCTTAAGTTGCAGGCTCCATATGGTTCAGCAGCACTTAGCTGTCTGCCCCTTGCCTCACTCTCCTTCTGTCCCTTGGTAGTGCCAGGAAGGGATATCCTGCAGGTGAGAAGAGTTTATCCAGAAGGGGCATTGGCACCTCTGACAGGCAGGGGGCAGAGGAGTGGGGGATGGGACTTTTCTACATCTAAAGTCAACATCTATGCAACCAATTATTTTCAGGACTGCTTGAGTGCATGAGATACACCCCTGGCCCTGGAAATACAGATAGAGCCTATGCCTTCTGCTCTCTTTCTTTTCTATCTGCCAGAACAGATGCTTTCTTGGGCACCTGGGACAAAAATCCAGGTGCTCTGTGCACGAGGCCTTGGTTCTACCCCACCAGATCACACTGCAGGGGCTGGCTGTGTGAACCACCTTGATCACATGGCCTTGCTAGTGACCTGTTCAGTGAGGACTCACACCCAATATGTATTTGACTTGTGAATAATTCATGTACATCATCGGCAGTCTATGTTTTAAACAATTTTCCACCTTTTTGTATCTGTACTGACCCAAGGATCTGTATATTCAAGTTAGTACCTATCTTCCAGCTAGTTGACCAAGTCTGGAAACAGGTTTCCCCTTCTTGAAATCAAAAGAAAAGAAGGTTACTGCATGTACTTTTCCTTCCATTTGCCATTTCCCCAGAGTCTTAGGCACGGAAATCTGTTCTTTTATGAGTCACAGGTAAGCCTGTGCACTTTTAATTCTGGACTGCATAGTTTTGAGCTATGTTGTAAGTATTAGTAATGCTTGATTTTTTTTCCTCCCTCTTTTTTTAGATTTAAAATAAACAAAGTTAAAGTCTCAATATTTTTTTCCTCTGATTTTTGGAGAGTTTTGGAGACTGCTATTGCCTTGGAGCAACGTATAGGCTCAGAGTGGGCCAGGCCAGGCAGGGCTTCTCCTGGGCCTCACTGATACCAGGCAGAATGAAGTAAAGCCTTTCCAAGCGGTGCTTTGGTTTCTCGTCCTGGCCACATTCTGATCCCCTTTAGTGATCCCCAGAAGAGGGTGGACTGTAGCACGGGTGGCAGAGTGCAATACAAGTAGATTTAAAGATGAATTTTACTCTGATGATTTCAGGAAGGCACATGGGTACGTAGAAGAGTGAACTAGCCCACACAGGCCTGTCCTCACTCATCCACTTTACTACATGCAGACAATCAGGAAGAGTTTCAGATTTTGTCTGGTAACACCTTACTGTGTGTTAGGAATTGGTGTCCTAACAACTCCCCATTTAAGTAGGAATTCCTCAGTCCCCTTTCACAAACCGAGGTTCAGAGAGTGAGGTGACATTCCCACAAGAATGACCAAAGTCTGTGTGAGCCCAGAGCTCAAACTTTTTGGAGAAGACGGGTGGAGCAGGGAGATGAGACCTTAATCAAACAGTGCACAGTGAGGGTGTGTTACAACCAGCCCTGGGCAGGAGATGCCAGGGACCAAGGGCTCTACAGGGCCCCAGAAGGTAAATATTTGCTTTCTTTTAGCACTGTAATCAGTTCATCTCCACAACTCCTCTCTATCCCTCTTTTCTGTTCCATATTCCAGTAATGCTGTTCCCTCTACCTAGACCTCCCTGCTCTGGTTGGTTCCTCTTCCTTCAGGACTCAGCTAGCACACCACTGCCAGGAATCCCAAGTCCCCACCCTTCTGCTCCAGAAAGTTTTTTTCTCTCTTCCCACAGGGCCCAGAAAACTTGAGATTCTCCACCATCATGCTCATCATACTTGAGGCATCCCCATAGAATACAGGCCTGACGAGGGCAGATCCTGTGGCCATGTGGACCACCACAAGACACACTGCCCCCAGCTACTAGCGTGGTATCTGGAACAAAGCCAAGGTTCATAAGTATTTGTGGAATGGATAGATAGATGGATGAAGATGGATGGGTGGATTATAGATGGATGGATGGATGGGTGGATGGATGGATGGGTGGGTGGGTGGATTATGGATGGATGGATGGATGGATGGGTGGATTATGGATGGATGAATTATGGATAGATGGATGGATGGGTGGATTATGGATGGATGGATGGATGGATGAGGCATCCTGATAGGTCCCAAAATGCTGATCTTGGAAATATTTCTATGCAAGTATATGATTTTACAGTGGGATCAAAGGTAGTCTCATCCAGAAAGTTGACTTACTGCTGTTGACTAAAGGGTCCCCCCCCGGGGGGGCCCTGAGTTTGTAAGGTTTAAGTGAAGAAAGAGAACACATGCAAAGGAACATTCACTGCAAACTTTGAGCTCCTGGTCATACCCTTGGCAATTACCGGAACCTTCCAGGTGACACACACATTGGACCCCCTGCACACTGCAGCCTTGGGACTGGGACTGTCCCAGGCTTCCTTTTCAGGTCATCCTCTGTGTTCTGAGGCTGCTGGGGCTGTAGCTTCACTTCCCACCAAGCCCCTCACTCAGTCCATTTGCCATCAGGGTTCTTTTATCTCCTCCAAATGGAAAACATCTTTTGAAAAATTGTTGACATAATATGCACTTACAGAAAGATGTAAACAGTATAGAGAAATATAAAGCAGCAAGTCAAAATCCCCTTCCCCCTCTGTGATTTCCTTCCCCAGGGATAATTTCCATAATAGCATGGCTGGTATTCTTCTAGACTTTTCAAATGCACATAGGCGTGGATTTGTCCATAGAGAGAGTAAAACTCTAAATGCTCCTCTGTACCTGTTCTCTTCCCTTAATGAACAGTCAGAGCGGCTGAGCAGCGCTTCCTGCTGAGCCTGTTGCTTTTGCTGAGGATCTGGTCTTGCACACTTGCACGTCTCACTGATAATGACCTTAATTGGTTAAACAAATCTCCCACCTCCAGGCCTGCAAGCTGCAAGTCCCTACCTTCCCCGGTCTAGCCCAGTGATAACCTCTACTAGATGCCTCTTTCACTTGCACAGTCTGCCCTACCTTATTTCCAAAGTAGTACAATAATGTCTTTATCCAGTTTACAGATTACTCTAGCAGTCCCCTCTTTGGGGGACTCAAAGTCCCCTATCCTTTGGTATGTTTTCTACAGCCATCCCCTCTCCTGGAC